AAAAAAAAAAAAAAAAAAAACTTTAGTCTCATCACACTAAAGAGACGTTATATGATTTATACAGAAGTAAAATATTGCAAAATTGGTCACATAAAATGTTATAAATTGCAAATTTAGTCCTAAGTTTGACGAAATTGGTTCCAAATTTTTTTTTTTTTTTTTATTGAAAGAGTTATCATATTTGCTTTTAAATATTATGAAACAATTTTAGAAAATTATTCTTTAATTAGGTATATTGCTTAACTTTAAATTATTTATATCTTTAAAAATTATAAACACGACTTTTTAAGATTATTAATTATCTTCTATAAGTTAGTAATAATGTTGTCAATATTTAACCAACAATTTGAACAATCCGTGAAAATAATCTTATTTCAAAAGGTTCAAATATGCATTCGGGAGAACCTGACTTGTAAATTGTAATCAAATTCAATAACTTGAACAGGTTTGAAAAACAAAAAAAATAAATAAAAAAATAAGAGAGAGAGAGAGAGAGAGAGAGAGAGAGAGAGAGAGAGAGAGAGAGAGAGAGAGAGAGGAAAACATTGCTCCAAAGTGTACTAAATTTAAATGATATTTTCATAACAAAAATAAATATCTAAACAAATAAATAATTGACATAAAAGGAATATCTGACAAACTTAGCTATAGCAATTCTGCAGGGCCTTTCATTTTATTCACTTAACCCCACACAAGTATCATACTAATTAACTAAACTATCATACTAATTAATTAAACTATTGAGTAATTTAATTGCTAGAGGAGTTGAGATTAGCCACTATTGGACTCCTCACATAATGCCTCCCATCAGACCACAAAAGCTCCCCAAAGCTATACCCACTCTTGACACCTTCCTTGGCCTTTATAGTCACCCTAAACACCTTCTCCTCCCCGATTTTCTTGAATTCCAGCACTTTGGGCTCCACCGAGACCGTGAAACCTGGCGGGTGGCGGATGCGTGAGGTATACTTCCCGGGCCGGCCCACATTCTTCACCTTCCGGGCAACAGTGACAGACCCATTCACTGTTGGGACCGTGATGGACGGGTTGTTGAAGTCAAGCACGCTGTAGTCGGTCGGGCATTCATAGTGAGAGGAGGTGAATTGGGCCAGCTGGTTTTGGTCGTACCCGAGCCCACAGAGGAAGTCAAGGTAGTCGTTGACCGTCAGGTCGTAGACCAGGCCAGGGTCCTGGGCGCGGTTTGGCCTGATGTGGCCCGACCCGTAGTCAAAAGGCGTGGCCTTTTCGTGGCTAGAATTCGACAATGGCTTACCGGTGTTGTCACGGATCCTCGCTGTTAATCACAATCAGTTCAATCAAATGGTACAAAAACTAACAGAAACATAGTTTATTGTAGACATGAATGGAAAATGCAGAGCAGATATATTTTACCAGTTGTCATGATGGCTGATCTAATTGCGGCCGGGCTCCAATCGGGATACAATGTCTTGAGCAGACCCACAACACCTGAAACATGGGGACAAGACATGGAGGTCCCAGACATCACCGTGAAAGGTGTCCTGCGGTGGTCAAAGTCTAACTCCGTCGGGCTTGTTCCCTCGGTATAAGATGCTATTATGTCAACACCCGGGGCCGTAATATCAGGCTGGATAAAACAAAAAACTTTAGGGCAGAGTAATTATGATTTAAAAAAAAAAAGAAACACAATGATAAACCTTGAGGACTTCCGGGGTAATGATGTTTGGTCCCCTGGACGAGAAGGCGGCCATAAAAGGTGCCGGTTTCGTATTCAGCAGCACCTTTGGAGTCGTAAGAAGACCTTGTGGATACCTGAAAGCACAAATTTTGTCGATGTAAGTACTACATATAATGGAAGTATATGAAAAACTGATAATGCCTGGCTACTCATGAATCGCATACTTGGTACTAATCAAATAGGCAGAGAGAGTACGGCCATCCTCATAACCGATGTGCGTGGCCGGTAGAAAATGTGGGTCAGACATGATCTCATCTCCGGTTGACTCGTCGTTGCAGAGAATCATCCCGACAGCTCCCGCACGTGCAGCCACCACACCCTTCTCAACTCGTGCGTTTTCTCCTCTTAGGCAAACAACTATTTTGCCCCTCACCTTTTTTGTGTCCAACGTATCCGGTTTGCAGAGTTGACTGATACCGGTTGCGAAATAACAAATAATGTTAGCGTACATGTCAATTCAAAGAAAAATCGAGCGAAAAAAAATCCTTACGCATCTTCTTCGGTTGCATTGGCAGCTTTAGCATGGGCCGCGCTAATAAGAGGGTAGAATTTGTTCTCCGGCAACGGTCTCGAAAGGCTTTTACCCTATTAGTATTAATATTACAGGTGCAAACACATCATCAAATGATAACACCAGGTTAGGTTAGGTTGTTCAATATTAATATCAACATGGAATTTTGTTGAATTACCTTAAGCACGCGGCCATTCCTCAATTTGAGGTCCGCATCAAACTCTCTGTCAAGTGTGCTTGCCCCGACAGTTATGATCCATGGGGCCAAGTTGGACACAGTCCCGGGGAAAGGCCCACTGTTCCCAGCAGATGCCACTACAGAGACTCCTCTCCGCACGGCGTGGAAGGAAGCAATGGCGATGCCGTCGTTAAAATAGTCATCAGCAGGCCCTCCGAGGGAGACTGACAGCACGTCCACCCCATCGTCGATGGCCACGTCGAAAGCCTTCATGATGTCAGCATCGAAGCAGTGGCCGTCCCAGCACACCTTGTACGCGGCAGCGCGTGCCCGGGGGGACCCGCCCTTGGAGGTACCGTTCCCGACACCAAACACGCTGGCCGAGGGGACGAAGCTCCCGGCAGCCGTCGAGAGGGTGTGGGTCCCGTGGCCCTCCGAGTCGCGCGTGTTTTGGAATGATGAGTTGAGGGGACTCCCCATGTAGGCTTCGTACCCCTTGTTGTAGAACCTGGCACCAATCAGTTTTCTGCACAACACATCCATCAACTTCAAATGAATAATAATAATAATAATAATAATAATAATAATAATGATAAAAATAATAATAATAATAAGAAGAAGAAGAAGAAGGATTTGGATATATCAAGAAATTTCGTAGATAGATAAAATTTAATTATCATGATCACATAAAAAGAAATTACGAAAATTACGAATCGATGTTAAGTACCTATTGCAAAGGTGTTGCTTATGGCCTTCGAACTGACAGATTCCTTTCCACTTGGAAGGAATGGGACCAATCCCATCGTCCCTAAAGCTCTTGGATTCAGGCCATATACCTAATTGTTAGTTAGTCAACAAGCCAGGTAAAAGAACAATTAAAAAAATATATATATTATTGCGATCATAATAAACCAACAATGAAAAGTAACAGCAATTACGGAAAAAAGAATGAATTTTTAATTTATTTGATTTTAATTTTACCGGTGTCAAGTGTTGCAATAATGGTATCTTCACCATAACGAGCTTTCTCCCAAAGGGAATACGGACTAACAAAGCCATCCTTTTCCAGTCCAAGAAAATCCCATGAATGAGTTGTGTGCAATTTTCTATCTTTGTCCTCTAGTACTGATACCACCATTGGATGCTCTACATTTATGTAACAAAAGTTAATGAAAAATCATTATAAAATAAAAATATAAACATAAACACAAACATGATCATTAAATAGATTATATAAATATTAGTATGCTTGTATATACTAGCAATCTCAGCCGCCTCTTCTTCCTCAAGAAGTGCAGCAAAGCCATTTATATTCCTCTTGTATGAGTAGAACATTGAATCTCTAGCCTTTTGCTCACTGCATGAAACGAATTGGGCAACAAAATCAGACAAAGCACATTATACTATTATAGCAATATGTAATTTGCCATAATTTTTTCATGATTTTTTTTTAAGAAAAAAAAATTGCAATACCTTCCCAAGAATGAAGTGAGCAACTCAGTATGTGAATCTTCCACACGCTGGTAATCAGCAGTAGTGACATCTGGACCATGATTATGTGCCCCCAAGTAGACAATATATGACTGATGATCAAATAATACATATGTAAGATAATTATTAACAAATCAAACTTTTATACATACAACAAAAAGTGTGTCGTCGACTAATTAAATGAGGAGCATGCAGGACAATATGAATTGTACCTTTTTAATGGCCAAAGCTGGTTCCTGGAACGCAGCAAAAAGGATAAAAAATGCAAAAAATGTTGAGAACCTGGCAAAAATCATGTTTGCTTCTTACTAAGCAAAATAGAAGAGGTAATACATATATATAGTGAATAAGCATATATATAGTGAATAAGAAGAGAGTCCAACTAATGGTAAGCTATTCATGATTATAAGAGTTCTACTAATGGTAAATTATTACAGATATAGGACTCCTTAACAAATCACGATATTATTACATAAAGGACTCCTTAATAAATCACAATTGTACAGAAATAGAGTTATCATCTACTACATAGACTTACCAGATATAGGACTCCTTACCGGACGTATCATCTATGGTACTCCTATACATAATTTTTCAGTTCTTTATATGAGTTCTGGTATATTGATCATTTGTTAGAATTTATTTTTTGTACAATTAAACAATTAAATTTTAGTTGTAAATGAATAATTAAATTTATATTTTTCATGATATAAACATATATGATTGTATAGAAAATGAGAGGAAAAATTTCATTACTATGTTACAGTTGTGGCGGCCCTCCTTCTGGTGGTCGGCGGAGCTACTCGCGCCGTGGGCACGACGGTAGGTGGTTGTGACTGACCGGCGACCTCAGCCTGTGACGAAGCGGCAACGGCTCTCTTTCTGGTGGCCGGAACTTCTTGGCGCTGGCGGTCGTAGCCGAACGGCGGCCTGAGGCTGACTCTCAGCGGCGTCGGTTCTTTTCCGCCTCGACGGCGACGGGCGTATCTCGGCGGCGTCGCCTCGGTCGGCCAATTCCCGCGGCCTCGTCTCCGGCCGGGGCAAAGCGGCTAAATTGGCCTCCATATTTTCCAATTCTCTGTGCAGCACATCACCCATTTCGGATTTTTGGACTCGAATTTGTGAAGGCGAAGGTCGATTATCTCGAGATTTTGAGCTGACAAGAAAGCCCTAGCATTTTTTTATTCTTCGTCTGATGCGTGATTTGGGAAAGTGCAAGAGATAGAGACTACCCAATTTTTCTAATAATAATACTACTAATAATAATTGTAATAAAAAAATGAGAAAAAAATATTGAGTTGCCTCCAATTAGTGTTTTTTTTAATCGTGGTTGTCTCGACTTATTACTCTCACAAACTATCTCATAAAATATTTACCCAGCACAGATTAGGCGTTTATTAAAAAAAAAAAAAAATCAATCAATTAACAACATATAGACAAAATATATCTCAACTTTAATTAAATTCCATTTATCTATATAATTAAATAATATTAATTAATTATTTTTATTTATCGTATCAATTTTAATTCACTATCACTAATAATCACTTTTATCATTTCTCCTACTTTTATCATTTCTCAAATTAACTTGTTAACCAAAAAAAAAATCATTTTGAATTCGTATAGTTTTATCCAAGAACGCCCCAAGTAGTAGTATAACACTTCTGTTTGACTCCAATATTTAATTTAGGGAGATGATACATCCGTTACAAAAATCATTTGTCGGAATTTGTAGTCGTTAAATCAACTATCCTCAATGTTACATAATGATCTAATAATTACCAATCGATCAGCGTAGCATTTCCTATTCACTAGTGCATACCCCCGTGCGATGCACGAGACAAATATATTAAATGAGTTATTTTCAAAGCTTTGTTCGTTTAAGTCTAAAAAATAATAATGTTATTATCTATTTTCTACCTCTTTTAATCAACGTTAAGTCTAAAAAATTATTAAGTCGCCAT